GTCATGGGATGTGAACTGATCCACTCTGCCACACCTTCGCCAGCATGCTGGACTGAGCCGTGGGCCATAAACTTTCCCTCCTGACAGTTGCTTCTGTCAGGTATTTGCATAGTAACATGAGAAATAACTAATGCATTGGCTGCCGGCTTGCTGATAAAGGCTGTGATAGCATGTAGGCTTGTCTCGAAAAGACAACATCATGACAAACAGGTCACAGATCAGGCAGCCAAGCTGCAGGACCTCACATCTGAAATGGCAGGTTCTTTTTACTTTATCATCAATCCATTCTTATTTTCAAAGCTCCAGACAGTCCATAGAGGTCTGGTAGGAAAGAGTACGGAGCTGGACTTCTCAAGGGGTGCTGCTGTCCTGTAAATGAGCAACCCTTTCCAGCTCAGAAATGGCTGAAAGAAATGGGTGATTTTGGAAGGTGAAGCGGAGTAATGGGTCAGCAGAAGACACGGTAAACACAACGGCTGTCATTCTTTCCACTAGAATACCAGTACTCCACTGGGACAGTGAAAATTCTCCCCTGTAGGACGGTGTCGTATCTGGACAGAATGGCCCCCATAGGCTTATAAATTTGAAACCTTGATCCCCAGTTAGTGAACCTGTTTAGCAAAAATCAGATTTTGTTAGAGGTGGTGTGTAACTAGGAGTGGGCTTTGAGGTCTCAAAAGCCCAAGCCAGGCCCGACCTCTTTCTTGTTCTGTCTTTGTGTCCTGCTTGCCAATCAGGATGCAAGCTCTCGGTTTCTGCTCTTGTGCCGTGCCTGCCACCATGTTTCCAACCTCGCTAGTCATGCACTCCCTGAAACTGTAAGCAAGCCCCCAGCTAAAGGCTTTCTTGTATGAGTTGCCCTGGTCATGGGGTTTCTTCACAGCGCTAGAACAGTGAGTAAGACAGAGGCTGGTCCAGGGGCTGAGGTACTACCGTGAGGAGCCTGACCATGCTATTCAGAGGACTTGGAACTTCGGACTAGACATGAGACTGAATGCTATAACTGGGGCTTATGGGCAGTCCGAGTAGAAACTTGGAAGACAACGGTGCTGAGAGCTAAAATGGAGGCTCAGCTCAAGCTAGGGTACAGATAATTCCTGTAATATTGTGGAAAGGAATGTGGTTGCTTTCTGCCCCTGTCTTAAAAATCTGCTGGAGGCAAAGTGAAAGAACTTTGGGCTAACATCATTAGCAGTGGAGATTTCAAGACAGTCAAGTATTGGCTGTGTCATGTGGCTCTTAGTGATTACTCGTATGTAGATCTACAATGAAAAAGAACAAGGAAGGCAAAAATCAATACAAAACATACAGTCTGAAGAGAAAAAGAGAACCAGGAAATGCAATACCGGATCCAATTCGCCCAATGCTTAGTAGAATAAACGAAGAGTGCCCCCAAGTCAGGACCCTACCAGCTAACCCCGAAGCTTGTGAAGGAAAAGGCCTAAGGAGTTATTTCTTCCTAAAGAGCTACAACCAAGAAAAACATGTGCAAATATAATTTAAGAATAGGGCAGTTTTCAGCTCAAGAAGGCAGTGAGACTCGGCAGTTTCAGCCATGTGGTTCTGGATTTAAGAGTGCAGATATAAGGTGTTGTGGAATATTCTGCCATGGTTAAAGAGACCGTGTGGCAGGGCTGTCCCTGCATAAGTGGAAAAGAGGCCATTGTGCGAGGCTGTGAAGATAAACTGTGGATTTCACTGGAAGCCCCAAGATGCTGGAGAGTCGTCGGTTATCTGCCAAGGAGAGCTGCATACAGGGTGGTGAGCCAGCCCCAGGAAGGAGGCATTGCTGCCAACAAAACTGGAAAGTGTGAGAGAATCAAAGAGTGATCAAGCTCTTCAGCATCAGACACGGAGCTCCAGGATTTGAGGTTTGCCCCGCCAGGTTTTGATCTTGCCTGTCCAGTATGTCCTCGCTATGACTTCTTGTTCTCTCTTTTGAAATAACAATGCCACTGTATGTTGGAAGTCTGTGACTTGCTTTTGCTTTAACAGAGGGTTACAATTAAGAGGTCATCTTGAATCTCAGAAGAGAGTTTGGACTTCTTTTTTATTCTGAGACAGGTTTCTCTCTGTAGTCCTGGCCGTCCTGGAACTCACTCTGTAGACTAGGTTAGCCTCAGATTTACAGAGATCTACCTGACTCTGCCTCCGAAATGCTGGGATTAAAGGCGTGTGCCACCACCGCCCAGTGAGACTTTGGATCTTTAAACAGTCTGAAACTGACAGACTACAGGGACTTCGAAATTGGACTTAATGCACTTTGCATTAGGATATGGAGACAAGGCTATGGGAACCAGGGAGTGGAATGCAGTGGTTTGAGTAATAATGGCCCCCAGAAGCTCATAGATTTGAAAGTTTGGATCTCATTTGGTGAATTGTTTAGGAAGAATTAGGAGACACCACCTTGTCAGAGAAGATGTGGCTTTGTTCAAGGAGATATGTTACTCGGGGTTTGAGGTTTCAAAGACCCATGCCAGGCCTGGTCTCTTGCTCTCTCTGCGTCCTGCCCATAGATCAGCTCTCAGCTGCTGCTCTACTGTCCTGTCTGCCTGCTTTCCACATGCTCCCCACCATGCTCCCCACCATGCTCCCCACCATGCTCCCCATCATGCTCCCCACCATGCTCCCCACCATGCTTCCCACCATGCTTCCCACCACGCTCCCCACCATGCTTCCCACTATGCTCCCCACCATGCTTCCCACCATGCTCCCCACCATGCTTCCCACCACGCAGGCAAAGTCAGAGGTTGGTGGCCGTCAGAGTTTGATCCCTGACTCACAATGTGGACGGAGAGAACAGACTGCCAAAAGCTGACTTCTACACAAGAGTCATGGTACATGTGCACACACGTGCACACACACACTAGGTAAAATGTGGTTAAAACAAGACCGTATGGCACTCTTTCTCCTCCAGAAGTCCCCAGTTAGACACCACTTGATTTGGCTATAAGTTTAAGTGAACAGAATAATAGCCTGGCATAAACCTAAAATCCCAGAAACGAGGCCACCTTCTTTAAGTCCTCAGAGCACATGCCTTGTAAGAGGGTGGGGCAGGTCCTTCTCTTTCCCCAAGTGTCACACATCTTCACACGCACTTTAGAGTATGAATTATGACAGTCTGAAAAAGCTAAGAATATATTATTTTGACCATAAGGACTGTTTGAACAGAAGTAATTATGGAGAGAATGGAGTGGCCTTAAAAATCAATCTGGCTGCTGCTTCTCAGGTGAGAATTAATTTGGCCTGCTAGTGGTGATGAGCTGGCTGGTTCTGCTGATGTTCTGCACGGCAAGACATCAGACATGGAAAAAGTGGTGTTGACTTTTTGCCAACTAACACTGTCTGTTGATGAAATGTGATATTCTTTTCCTCTATGCTTAGGGAGTATATGACCGACACACCAGACTACTGTTTTTACTCTAAGTGGAGGACAAAGTTTGGCTTTGGGCTTCGTGATTCTTTCTCCCTCCAGGTCCCACACCACGCACACATTTTCTTCAAAGTTCTAGAGTCTTGAAGGGTAAAATCAGATCGGTTCTCTCGATACCCAGAATGTCTCCTTGCCTTCAATCCAACAGCTGAGAATGGAACGGTGTGTCTGTGTGTTCACAGCTGCCGTGGAGACAGAAGTGCACACAGCTCTACCAGTCAAGTCGGGAACTGTACTACCTTGTGGCAAAGACAGCCTTTGTGCTTTAGAGGGTTCAGTCTGACCAGGCCCTGGCTGTAAAGTGCAGCTGCTGGCACCACTTGCAGTTCCAACCAAGAGCCGGGAAAGAAAGGCACCTCTGGGGAGGGGTATTCCACATGGGCTTTGTTTCCTCCCTTCTTCTCTCCTTCCTTCCCCTTTTCCCTCCCCCCTCCTTTCTCCCTTCTCCCTTTCTCCCTCCTTTTTTCTTCCCTCCCTCCCTCTTCTCTCCCCTCTCCTCCCTCCTTTCTTCCTTTCTTCTTCCCTCCCTCCCGTTTCCCTCCCTCTCTCTTTCCTCCCTCCCTCCCTCTCCTATGCTTCCCCGAGTTGGGGGATTCTGAGAAGCCTTTAAAGTGTTGCATACCCATATATTCATTTTTTCTCTCCTGGAGAATGTTTACAGCTTCCAAAAGATTCTCAGTGAGCTCTCCGTCTCTGACCAGGATAATAATAATACTCAGAGGACACCCCCACTGTCAGGTACGAAGTCCTCTATGATACAAAATTTTTTTAACAGATGGTGTTCTACCATCAGGCAAAAAAAAGTCATAATATTATTATTGGTGGGCGATTTGTGTTCCAGCAACGTTGCGGAAACAAATCTCTGTAGTGATACTTGATTGTAAATTGTTGCCTGGGTCTAATAAACATTAAATGTGGTAGCTATAAAAGGGACTTCTCTTAGAAAGCAACAAAAGGCACTTACTGCATCCTTAACTTGCTATTAAATAAATCATAAAGGATCAACTAAACAGTTTTGTTTGTCCTCAGATTTAGAAGCTGAAGCTTCTTTTACCCACCCCTCCCCAAATATGAGGGAACCTAAAATGACTATTGACTTTGTCTTTCAGGGTTTGGCCCTGAGGTTGGAGCACTCACTGTAAATATAACCAGTGAGGCAGAGGGCTCAGGCTTGCCTAAGGCAGTAGCAGCCTGCCTGGGTCAGCGCAGCCCACAACACAAAGTCCCTGTAAGATGCTCAGCAGTGGACTGGACATTTGTTCAGCTGGTAGAATGCTTGGCCAACACACAGGAAGCCCCAGCAAACATGGTATGATGCCCTACACTTGTAAGTCCAGTGTCGGGAAGATGGAGTTGGAAGGAGGAGAGGCTTAAAGTCATCCTAGCCATGTAGAGTGAATTTGGGGCCAGCCTGGGTTACAAGAGACCCTGTGTCAATTAGCAGAGAAAGGAGTTGGGCTGTGTGTCTCTCATGCTGTTTTTTTCTCCAGATTGTAAAACATGCCTCTGACCCTTTACCCAAGACAGGCCTTCTGCCCCGAAGTGGGAGCCCGGGAAAGCTACTTACCAGATACAGGTGGCTGGTCACTGGGGGAACCCCCAGACCCCGAGGCTCCCCTCTCCGAGCCTGGAAGCTTTACATCAGCCCTGTCCTGGGGCTGTTCTCCTGCCTCTGCCATACTGGCTGCTGCTTCGCTGGGAAGGCCCATGCTGTAGGCACAGTGGGGCAAGGGTCCGTATTTCAGAGAACCCAGAAGCGGCTCGTGGTCCTCCCCAGGAGTGTTTCCGCAGCCCGCGAAGCCGTCTGCTGAGTTGGAGCTGGCCACCCAGGGCAGGCAACTGGCATCCTCTATTTCTCTTTTCAAGTACTTTTCAGGGGACAAAGGGATACAATCAGTTCTGCATGGGGGCGCAAGGAAGCTGCAGCCTTCAGACTCAGCCGTGCTCTCCGTCCCTGTGAAACACTGGCTTAAACTGTCATTCTCCCCAACTTCCAGAGGCTCCTGGAAAGGCGGTGTGGATTTGCTCCCGGGCTGGGTCAGGAACAGTGAACCATCGGAGCGCCGTGAGGGCCGGTCTGTGTACTCATCCTCCGTGGGAATCTTCCTCGAGAGGTCCCCCTGGATCTCGACTTCGCTGACCAATGTTAACATCCTGGCATCTCCACCCTCTGCACAGGGCCCACCTGCGGCACACACAGGCCCACAGACCCCAGAACCACCTTCCAGATAGCACATGTCTTCTAGACGCGTCTTCTCCCCTAGAGTCATTAGTAACACTCCTTCACATGCTTCTTGCTGACCGGAGGTTGCTGAGTGTGTACCAACACAACAGTCACCCGAGGACTCCTGAGGGTGCGAATTCAGAATATCCAGTTACTACATTTGCCTAGCCCCTGCAGAAGGGCGCTGCTATGTACTGCTTCCACCTTGACAAGTACAGGTGGCCCATACTTTATGGGTTTGTTTATGCTGCTTCAAATTACAGAGTACGGAAGAACTCTGGCAAGGGCCACAGACGGAAAGGACTGGCTCTTCACTGCCATGAGTAGCACCTGCACACTACAGGTGCAGAGGTGATGCAAGGAACAGCTGGACACATCTGTCTCTAACAAAGCAACGGCAGCTGCACAGCTGCTGAATTATAGAAACCAGGCTAATGTCTGCAGCTGACTTATCTTATACTCATACCAGATGTAAAGGACAAACTAGAATAATTAGCATTCTAATCTGGATTGGAAAATAGGTAAGTCACTCTTAAGTTTTTGTCGTTTAGTTTTGGATTTTTGAGGCACAGTCTTATGTAACTGAAGCAGGTCTTAGGCAGTACAGGATGACTCTGGATTTCTGATCCTCCTGCCTCTGCTTCCCAGGTGCTTGGCTTATAGACAAATTTATTCTCTGCTGGTATCCAACTCAGGGTTTTGTGCCTGCTAGGCAAGCTACAAGACCAGTGCCACAACTGAATAAATGTGCTTATTTATTTATTTATGTGCCTACTTCCCTACTTTAAAGGACAGAGTGAGTGCAACACGAGCATCCATTGTTTTCTTTTTTAAAAAGATTTATTTTTATTTTTAGTGTGTGTGTGTGTGTGTGTGTGTGTGTGTGTGTGTGTGTGTATGTGTGGTGTTCACGTGTGCACATCAGGGTCTAGTTGTCCTAGACGGCCAGAAGAGGGCATAGAATCCCCTTGTGCTGCAGTTGCAGGCTGTGAGCGCCTGTGGCTGTGAGCTGCCTAAGGAGAGTGCTGAGAACTGAACTCAGCCTTCTGGGGGGAAGAGCGTGCTCCAAACCTCTGGGTCATCGCTCCAGTCCCAGTTTTGTTTCTGTTTGTTTTTCCATTTTGACAGAGACTATTTAATCTTAAGGAACGTGCATTTACACACTTATGAACAGAGGAATTTCCAGTCTCCATTCACTCTGAAGTGATTCCAGACTCACTTGGTTCACAGACAGAAAGAGCAAAGACTAAATGGGTGTGATAAAGTGCGAGCTACTGATGAATTTGAGCATCGGGCATCAGGCCTTTCATTGCAATAGTCTTAATATTTTTCAATCATTTTTGAAATTATGACAAAGGAGAATATTTCTGAAATAACTACAGAGTAAAGGAAAGTCGTCGATGGTTCCTCCCGGGAATCTGCACTAGGTGATCCCGTCCGGTTGTAGAAATACGTACACAGAGACAACAGGATTAGAGGGAAGACTGTTGTGTGGCTCAGGGGCAGTACGCTTGCCTGGCACGGGTAAAGACCCTTCGGTGTCCAGCCTGGGATCAGGGAAGGCGTGGGCACTGACTTATCACACAGGGATCAGCTCCAGGACAGTTTTCACTGCCTGGAAGGCAGTGCGCGCCACAGCCAGCCGGCTGCAGCGCTAGAGACTATGGCAGGACTTAGAGGAGGCAGTAAACACTTTTACCTGACTTCCACTTAGGCTGCTGCAAGCATCATTGACCCAGTTCCACAAATTAGCTGGGAAAAAGAAAAGGTAATAACTACATGTTATAATTTTCTACTTATTTTTAATATGAATTTCATCTTATATATTTAGTTTATACAATATGATGCTATAAGATAAATATAGATGGCACAGTTTTCACTATAATAAAATGGATCAACTTATCCATCATGTTAAATGGTGACTTGTATGTGGCAGGAAGTGCCAAAATCAACTCGATTAGCAAAACATCACACTGTACGACATTCTTCCCTGGGTGTGTTTCTCCTATACATCTGCTGCTGTAGCCTCTGACCTACACCTCCCCATTTCCTTCCTCCTGCCCCTGCCCACAACCATTTCATTCTCTTCCTTTGTGTATTGACTTTCTCCCAATTTCGATAAATCTATATAAACATACCCACTGTGTCACAGTAAGGTATTAGCATTATAATTCAGCCAGGGCTGGGGTTGAAACTCCATGGCATGCACAAAGAGAGAGCTCGCCTGGCATGCACAAAGCTCTGGGGTCCATCCTCAGCGTGGGGGTGCAACAAGACTAGTATGTGCCTCACTCAGTGGGACAGTACTTGCTTAACAAAACAAAAGACCTTGGTTCAATCTCCAGCACAGGAATGGGAGTCAACCAATCAATTAATAAATTAACTGATTTAAACACTCTGAAGGCATCTTACTTTTTAACAACAGAACTTGCTGATCTCTAAAAACTGTCAAAGTTATTTTCCACCAACTTGACACAAACCTAAATACCTAGGAAGAGGGACCCACAACCGGGGGAACTGCCTCATCAAGGGACACCGATTGCTGATTGACGTGGGAGGGAGGGCCCAGCCTATTGTGAGCAAGCCAACCCTGGGCAGAAGGGCCTGGACTGTCTAAGACAGGTTGCTGAGGAGCTGGAGAGATGTCTCTGTAGTTAAGAATGCTGACTGCTCTTCCAGAGGACCTAGATTCAATTCCTAGCACCCACATGTAGGCTCACAATCATGTGTAAGTCTAGCCCCACAGGATTTGATTCCATGTTCTGGCTTCTGAGGTTAGCAGGCATGCATGTGGTACAAAGACTTACATGCAGACCAAACATCCATATACATACAATACATTTTGAAAAGAAAGATGGCTGATCAAGACATGGGAAACAAGTCAGTAGGCAATCTCCGTGGCCTCTGCTTCAGTTTCTGCCTCCAGGTTCCGGGCTTGAGCCCTGATTTCTGGACAGTGAAGTGTAAGATGTAAAGACAAACAGACAAGCAAACAAGTGTCTCTCCCTCCTAAGTCACTTTTGGTCATGGTGTTTATCATGGAAACAGAAACCAAACAAGGACCCACTAATAATCCATCAACTCCCTATGCTACACCCGGGTCTGTCATGGTGCAGAACACACGCATTCTCGCTCCCTGCAAAACCTTATTGTGCATAAGAGAAAGCAAGATAGCCAAGAGAGGGGGACAAAGAGGGTGTATCTGTGACAATAATATGCAAAATTTTATACCATCCATTATGAAAATCCAACGTTTTCTTCAGTCACTATGAACACTGAAGCCGGGAGCTGCAGATTCTTGTGGTTTTGTTTTTGCTTGAATATATGTATGGGATGTTCATGTATGTATGTATGTATGTATGTATGCATGTATGTGTTCTGTGCATGCATGTGCATATGCATATTTATATGTGTGTGCCCATTCATGTGGGGTGTGTGTGTGTGTGTGTGTGTGTGCACGTGCATGTGCGCATGATACCCTCCACCTTGCACACTGAGGCAGGATATCTCGCTTAAACCCAAGGCTCACTAGTACAGGCCATGTAGCTAGCCAGCTTGCCCAAGGGATGCCCTTTTAACCTCCCTGGCCTCAAGTGTGGAATTACAGGTGGGAGGTGAGGAACCACCACCTATGGCGCTTGCATGGAAAGTACCCATATTCTTTTCTTCAAGGTTCCTTCCCAGATGCCACTGCGGACACAATACCTGTCAGCGCTTTCCATCCCTTCCTGTAGTAAACACCAAAGATGATGGCGGCAACTAACACCACGGAGACGAAGAGGAGCAGAATGACGAGACTGGGCAGGTAAATCTGGGCTTCTGCGGTGGAAGAAAACACAGCGTTAAGGATTATTTCATTTTACCAAGCTAAAAGACGATACAGTCCTATAAATCCAACCCAAGAATCACGGATGTGGGTGTCCAGGTAGCCTGAAATGGAGAGCTCCCAGCCCTGAATTCACAGAGTTCTCAGCTGTTAGAGGACACACTCCATAGTGTAACCCACTCTGCTCAGGGGTCTCCCCTCAGGAGAGGGCGGCCCAGGCCCATTGTCCTGTCTCTGCTGGAGAATGAGTTGAATACCATCCATCATGCTGTCCTGGTTCATCTGTCATCTGGCTAAGTTTATCTTTCTGCTGTTCTTATTCATGGCCTTATTGTTGCTCTCTGACCTGGTTCTCTGCTTGTTGGGAAGGTCTTTCCCCAAGCTGCTTGCTTCTGGGGTGCAGCCCACCACACAGTCACTCACCCAAAGAAGCCAGACAGAAGCCTCTGCTAGCCAGAAGCTTTCAAAACCAGATTTAGATTAGCTTGACCCACAAATGCTCACAGGTAATCACAGACAGATCTAACAGTGGCCTTCTTTGGCTTGATCAAAATCTTCACACAGACACACTCACTCTGACTATCACCCCTGCCATGCATTGACATTGGCATTTATGTTTACAGTTCACCCCTAACTCGGTGTGAAAAGAATATGATCAGCTGGAGAGATGGCTCAGAGGTTAAGAGCACTGACTGCCCTCCCAGAGGTCCTGAGTCAATTCCCAGCAACCACATGATGGCTCACAGTCATCTAGAATAAGGTCTGGTGCCCTCTTCTGGCCTGAAGGCATACGTGAAGGCAGAATGTTGTATACATAATAAATAAAAAACAAACAAATAAATCTTTTAAAAAATGCTATCAAGTAGTTAGCATGTAGAAAGGCACTGGGTAAAATCTCCAGCAGACAAAAGAGAGGGAGAAGGAGTGGAAGAGGGAGAGAGGGGGGAGAGGGAGGGAGGGAGGGAGGAAGGAAAGAAGGAAGAAAGGAAGGAAGGAAGGAAGGAAGGAAGGAAGGAAGGAAGGAAGGAAAGAAAAAATGGAAATGAGGAGGGGAGCTGGAGAGAGGGCACAGAACTTGAGACCTGGCTGCTCTTCCAGAGGGCCCAGATTCAATACCCAGCAGCTACATGGTGTCTTCCTGTAACTCCTGTCCTAGAGGATCCAATTCCCTCTTCGGGCCTCCTCAGGCACTGAGTATACATGATATGCACAGGCGTAAATGGAGATGAAACACTCATATACATAAAGTAAACAATTTTTTTAAAAAAAGAAAATTCTCATACTGTTCAAAAGTAGACAAAACAAAATGATGGGACTGGGGATATAGCTCAGCAGTTAAAACCACTGGCTGCTCTTCCAAAGGACCTGTGTTTGGTTCCTAGCACCCACATGGTGCCCACAACTGTCTGAAGTCCAATGTCAGAGGATCCAGAGGATCCTATGCCCTCTCCTTGCCTCCTCGAGCAATGCACATATGTGATGCACAAACATAGATGTATTAACATATCCATACACATAAAATAAAAAAGAATAAGTCTTTTAAACAAATAAAATGCTGATGAAAAATGAAAACAATACCAAGACAACTGTGGTCAGAATGAGCTGAAAAGCACAAACGAATCCCTATCATTAGCTTGTCATTCTAGAGAGACCACCCTGGGACCATGGACCACCCCACAGGTGCTCTTCCTACCCTTGGGTGGTTTTGTCAGCGTCAGGGAAGAGCTGCAGACGGTGTCTGATTTCTTCGTCCCTGGCTGTGCTTCTAGCATTCCAAGGAGGGAACAGCTGTGAGGAAAGAGCAGGCAATGCTGTGGGTCGACACTTAACTTTCAAAACCCAACAAAGGAAATGTTAGCCTGAGCTAGACTGGGAACTCCTTCAGAAAGGGAAGCCATAACTTCCCAGATGTTTGAGTCCCCAGCCTTGCCATGGGAGCAGAAGCCCTCAGAGCTGGACAGAGTGCTAGGGGAACACTAGAAACTACTGAGAACACAGCAGGCAAGAGTAAAGAAGGAACTTATGTACAGAGGACTTCAAATGCTGACAGCGTTTTGATGAGTACAATTCTGAAGATGAAAAATACAATCTTCTTAACATAAAACCTGAGTGTGCTGCATTGGGAAACAGCCACGTGCGGTGGTCTACACTATAATCCTGACGGCGGGGTGCTAGGGCAGCAGAGTGGGAGCTGTCTGCAAACAGTGAATTCTGGGAAGAGGAGAAGCAGACACACCAGCAGCAGATCTTGGGATGGGTCATGTGAGCTTTTGAGAAATAAAGACATGTTTGGAACTGAAGGCTCATTGTACTTAGCGCTGGTATTAAACAACAGGAAGCGTTCAGAGTCTGTCCCATGTAACTCACGTGCGGTGCTGCCCTATACGCTAATCAGGGGTCCCTAACCCAAAACCCAACAGTCCGGTGTGACGCTTTTAGAACACCGACGTGAAACCTCAACTCGGAAATCAGACGTCATGAACCTTTGCTCCATTCGTGCAATAACGTAGAGCGTGTGATCGCCTTCAGGCTCTGTGTGTAAGGTGTACACGAGCAGTTCTGTGCGTGAACAGTTCTGTGTTTGGATCTGCCATCCTTCCCTGAAAGTTCTCAGTACACAGCTAAAAGCCAGAACCCAAAACAAATCTGAAATATTCCCAAGGATTTGGGTAAGGGACTCTTAGTCCGTATACCACACAATCACTACACACTTATCCCTGCAGAAAACTCAGAGCTGCTTCCATGGGCCGCAGTGGGAACTTAGTAAATAAAGACGGTGCATTTCTCCAGTGAAGTTCACAGCAATTGTAAGAAGCCACAGAGACACTCTTTTCAGTGGAGAAAAACATCATCAGGTAACTTCATATGTACAAAGCCCTGGGTTCATCCTCAGCAACAAACGTAATAAATAAACCGGGAATTAAATTATCGGTGAAAATGAAATATCAAGATGATTGTAGATGGGGTAAAATCGAAGGCACAGGTGGACCTCTGTGATTTGGCTTGTAAAGAGCTTCAAGATGACTCAAGAAACCCAAAGCCCTTACAGTGTACACAGACGGGGCTCACCCTTCCAGATGAGTAAACTAGTGAGGATGGGACGTGACGGTGCTGAATGGCAGACAATAAATGGCTTAACTCAAGCCGGGGACACAGCTCAGTCACAGAGGATGTGCCTAGCGTATCTGGAGCCCTTACATTCCACCCCTGTCCCAGACAAAGAACTCAGAAACAATTTTCAACTAAACAAAGTTGGGTTAAAGAAAGAGAAGCTGGAACTGGAGGTCACATATTCCTGAATGTGAGACGTGGCACGGAGCTCTGACACATGCTGGGTCTGCAGCGAGCTCACACTTACTTGGTCCAGGGTCTGCATTTGTCCGTGGATGAGAAGACATCTGAGAAGAAGCCCAGGAGGCAGGGTGTGCACACCGTGTCCATGTTGAGCCGCACTGTCAGACACACACACAAAAGCCAACAGATAAAATCAAGGAGACACTTGGGGATCGGCCAGGATGGTGTCCCTGAAGCATTACCCCATCGCACCGGGTCTGCCTGGCTACCTGTATCTCCTGCTATTTCCTCCAGAGTGGAGGAAGTGTTTGCAGAATTACGTTTAGAAACTCTTCATGTCAGGCCACCAAGACTACATCTGATGTTCAGCTAGGTACAGCCTTGCCTGGCCTTTCACTTCAACACATTTCCCCGTCTGTGTTGTGAGGCTGAATTTTACTGCCTTACTATTTCCAGCCTTCAGGCTGCATCAGCTTTCAGCTGCAGGCAAATGTGGTTCCATCCCTGTCTTTAAGGGAAATGTCTTCTTCCAATGCCAAAATATCTCATTACTCTAAAATCTGGGTGGGGGTGAAAAATGGTACCAAGCACTTTGGATATGGGCTCTGTGACACTATTTACTACAAAAGTTATTATTTCAAAACCCGGAATAACTGAAATGCCTGGCAACATTTGACTCCACCACTGACTTACTAAAGAAATGGTGGTACACTGCCAAGTGGGGTGAGCAGTTCCTTTCTCCAGGCTACAGAGTGTGACAGGCACCACGCTCCCCCACCCCCAGAGGAACTCTCTAAGTCTCTTCCTCCTAAAAGTCTGTGATTGCTCACAGCACAGAAGTAACTAGAGACAATATGTGAGGCAAATGGATTGGATTGTGTTCCAAGAAAACAGAAATGCAAATGAGACAGTGTGGGTCTTGCCCTCATCTGCAGGACTCAGAGCCAAAGCTGATCTTGCCTAAGAAGCTTGATTCACCTCTCACATTTCTCCTAAGCTAAATTAGCAGCATAAGACATGCCGCAAGCTTTCCGTGTCTCCTATCGTTATTGTAATGGGCACGTGACGGTTTGGTAGGCACAGATGGACAATACTGACCACAGCGTGACATCACATCAGGCCATTGGCTAGTGCTAAACTTTCAAATGGCTTTTGAAATTAATAGCACGTCTAGGGTTTATTTTCATGAATACAAACCAGCAATAAGGAATTAAACTTCTTGGTACAAGCCTGATAGGAAGCATATGTTTGATTTCTGTAATTTGGCAATAAATAGCATACATTGGCACACTGATATGGCAGTGTGACTGGCTAGGTAGCAATCCTAGTACTGCTAGGACTATTGACTAAATAACATTAACTAAAACAGCTTTATAAAAGATGAACACAGACTAGAGTGTGTTTCCCTGCACCCACATCAGTCAGCGTAATGCCCAACTCCACAGATCCATCCAAGTTCTCTGGCCTCCTCCAGTACTGGGACACACACACAGACACACACATAAACACACAGGCACACACAGACACACACACACATACAAACACACACAGACACACACACACATACAAACACACACAGACACACACATAAACACACAGACACACACACACATACAAACACACACAGACACACACATAAACACACAGACACACACACACATACACACACATACAAACACACACAGACACACACATAAACACACAGACACACACACATACAAACACACACAGACACACACATAAACACACAGGCACACACAGACACACACACACACAAACACACACAGACACACACATAAACACACAGGCACACATAGACACATACAGACACATAAACACAGACACACACACGCAGACACACAGACACACACACACATACATCACACACACACAGATAGACAGAGACACACAGAGAGTTTTGTTTTTTAAAGATGAACAAACGGTGGGTGAGATAAAGACACTTGACCCCAGGTCTGATGATCTGAGTTTAGTTTCTGGAACCTACATGATGAAGGGAGAGAACCAACTCTCAAGAGGTGTTGTCTGACTTCCATGGATAGGCTACAGTGTACACACACACACACACACACACACACACACACACATACACATACACACACACACAGAGCAATCTAGAAGATTCTGAGGAGAGTTCAGGGACATTCCTTTCCATACGCCTGACTTTTGGTGGTTCTTGTTTAACTCCGACCCACCAGTGATATCCTAAAGGCTTCATTTCCCTTCTCCCTTTTACAACCAGGCTTCTCACACTAATACAAGAGTTACACTTCTATCTACTCCGAACCCAAACCTTGGCCTCACTATACTGAGCCAGGAGCGCAATACTGGTGACCACAAAGTTGCACTCACCGCTGCCTGGGTTGCTTCTCTTTCCCTGCTGACCCAGAGCAAACGTGTGGTCACTGAACAGTATTTGTTTTGAATCCAAGTATACTGCAAGTTCGGGCATGAGGGACTTTGTCTTCTCAGGGTCTCTTGTAACCCAGGCAGGTCTCAAACTCACTGTGTAGCTAGGGATGACCTTGAACTTCTGATCTCCTGAGCCAGAGTGCTAGGCCTGCAAGTGTGCACCACCATACCAGGCCTCATTTGGTACTGGGGATCAGTATAGGGCTCTGTGCATGCCAGGTGAGCACTGTACAAACTGACCAGGATATTCCCAGCCTCAAGAGTGAGTTCAACCACCTCCTGTCAGAATGGATCATTTCCAAGGGCTCTAGGCAGAGGGAACTGTTAGGTGGCAAACCCTGGACAAAGGTTAACTGCGGTGGCTGACGCTGGCCACTAGCAGTTTCTGGCGGTTCCTCTATCCTCCGTACCTACCTGTTACAGGGTCCACCTGGCTGCAAAACCCTGCCTCCTACCCTGAACTCTTCAGCCCGGGGGCTGGGCTGCCCTTCTCTGTATAATCCAGAGATTTTGGATACACTGGATCTTTTTTCCCTTTTACCCTCCTGGCCTCTAAGTCTCCTGGCTCTAGGTCTCCTCGCCCCTTTCCTCACATGGCACAGCTTGGTCATGACCACTGTGAACTCTCTCAGATAGATGTCCCTCCTCTGGTTACACACTCCCTCTCATCTACAGTAACCTTCTCCCCCACTGTTCATAGAACAGTCATGTCCTCCTTTTCATTCAAGAATATCTTCCAGAAATCAGAAAGGCAGCGGGCAGCGCCCTCCTTCACAGAGGCCGCAGAGTTTGCAGGGATCTGACTGCGGTGGGGACGGCTGGCCTCGTTGCCCACAACCTCCAGCTGACTTTTCCTGAGAGCATGTGTGGATTAGTCAGTGCGCTGATGCAGAGGCCTGCCGTCCATGTGGGTTCGAATGAATAATATTCTAGTTTCCCAGCCCTGTCCCACTGTGTTGGCTTTAAAAACATGTCTTTAAGTGAAAGACCGGCAAGCATAAGCAATCACTTGCTGCACTCTGAAAACCTGCTTTGTGCCGCTTCCCAGAAGCCGGGAGCTAGAAGGGCCGGCTCTCAGAAGCACTTTCGCAAGACCAGAGGATTTCTGCTTCTTTGCTTTCCACAAAGCTGAAGGGCACAACGGGGTCCTCAGGTGACAGAGTGTCAACAATTCCCACAGCTCCACATCACTTTGTGAGCAAGGACATCACTCAGAAGGCGCTGAAGCTGGAGGTGTTCCTCGGCAGCCATGCCAACAACTCAGCACCGAGCTAAAGAGAACCCCCGGCTAACACGCACCACTGGTGGGCCACTCAGCCCAAATATAAACATGGAACAACCCTACTCTCAAGGTTCAAAAGCTGGGAACTCTAAGATTAAAAAAAACAACAACTGTACGTGTGGCCAGTTATATGGTAACGGGCACGGTGGCAGCCAATCCTGAAGACCCTCGTTTTTACTCTGTGAACCCAAGTCAATTCAAGGTTTTTGTTTTTGTTTTTAACAAATTTCAAATTAGTCCTTACTCTTTCTTATTTGAAGGGCTAGAAGAGGTGATTGGGAAAGGCCTTCCCAACAAAGAGGAGGTAATTCTGCCTGGAAGGAGGATGGGAGCAAACAGAGGAAGAGCATGTCTGTTCCGACAGTCCGCTTAAGTCGAGCTTTGGAGAGAAGGGCTTTTACAGTCCAGTGAGTGGCTGGAACTTTCCCAGGCTAGCCGGCCAGCCTGCTCTAGGACTTCGCATTTCCTGGCTTCCTTTCTTGCTGGAGCTGGAATTAGCTTTCAGTGTGGGTTCTTGTATTGGGCTTAGGGCTGCATGCTGGTGAAGAGTGCTCTATTTAGACAGCAATGTCTCCCCAGCCCTCCATTGCCAGGTCTCAAGGTGCTAATGCAGCTATAACTTCCCAACTGCCGGTCTTTAGGAACTCTTTAAACTGGAAATCAGTATCTGTAGATGTCAGTTTCCAGCGAGTCCCGAGGTGTGCATCCCCTTCTAAGATGCTGCATGCTGTTTAATGCCTTGGCGAATCCCTGCACTATACTGTCTGTTACTTAGTGAGGACCCTCGGTTTTCACAGACTGAGACCCAGGCACAAAGCTGAGGGAGGGGTGAGGGAATTCGGGATGACTGCCCATTTGCTGTTGGAAGCTGGCTAAACTGGGTTTTTAATCCACTCTAAGGTTCCTCAGAGCCAACTGGGCTCCCTGGAGTACCCTTGACACGGTCGTGACACATCCCTAGAAGTCTTCTGGGCAGGGGTGTAACGGCAGGGCTCTGTTGGAGAGTATGTACACACACACAGACACACACACACACACACACACACACACACACACACACACACACACACAACCGTGCCGTACAGGGATGCTTGGCCCCGAAGCCAGGCTCGCACTCCATGTTCCGGCGGCAGCACTCGCAGTCTGGGTTCCAGTGGTAGCCGGCCGTGCAGGCACAGCGCCGTGGGGCCGTGTGATTGCCAGGGTCCACTGCCACCAGGGCCTTGCCTGTGGGAGACAAGAGAAGATCAGCGACCAGCGAGAAGCAGGAGACACAGATGCACTGTCCACCCAGTGCACCGTCCCCACCCAGCTGCATCTGGCAGCCAACAGCGTGACTCACTGGGTTTGAGGAACTCCAGAGTTCCTTCCCGCACTTCCTTGTCGGTAGGAAACCGTCCAACATACCCTTTTCTAGAGAGCTGTGTGGGCTCCCTAGACAGTTTTGTGTTAGGAGGTTTAATTATTTGTGGAATCACACAGCAGTGCACAGTTGCTAGTTTTTGTTGTTTTGGGGAGTTTTTTTTTTTCTTGTAAATTCAGATGTCAAACAAAATTTAGACAGACCTAACGAAGTTTCTGGGGATGTGAGTACATTCAGGGGTCCTGAAAGGCTCTGGGGTGCTCAGTCAAGACCAAGACGACAAAGCAAGAAACAGGCAGCAGTCTGTCTGACCTACGAACCAGGGGCTGTCTGTCTGTCTGTCTCTCTCTCTCACACACACACACACACACACACACACCCCTCTTCTCAATACACAGAAAGTGCTTGGCTTCTTACTCTATTTTCCCGGCTTCTCAGTTTTCTGGAATATGGGTGTATGGGAACTGAGTGCCCAACACACGATCATTCTTATTGTTCAGATTCACATGAGTGTCCTTGTTCAGTACGATTCCTACTGACACCCGCGGGGTGTTTTTCGTCACCCTGGACATGGGCTGAACCACACAAAGTGTGGAGTCATTCTTTGCTCTCCACGAGGACCTCTGCATTCCGGTCTGACTTTCATACAGAGTGATTTCTCCTCTCAGCACCCCCACCTTCCAGGATAGTCCTGGGGGTTGAAACCAAACCCCATGTGCTCCAGTAAGGCATTCTACCGCTGAGCCAGGTTCGCAGCCTAAATGAGCATCCTTGCTGCAGTCTATCCAAAGCACTTTTCTCATCTTTGGGCTTGTATTTGCCAATGACCCTATTTTTAAATGGTCCCATGTGTGGTGCTGTCTTGTGTGTCAAGAAGGCAGTGATGTGTCCTGCCCAGAAAACATGTGTGGTATAAAGTATAAACTGTGTGAGTCTGAGTTGTGTGCTGACTCACAAGACCTACCTAGTAAACAGTGATACGCACATGACAAGGGGGTTTGTGCGTGGGACAAAGGCCTCTGATGAGAGGAGCTTGTAGGAAGCTAGTCCTGAATTTCTGAATTCTCCTAGGAGCGATGAGTGATTCGGGACTCATGAACTCAATGGTTGGGGTGACTTTATGGAATGCAGCTACTGTGGATAAGGACACTGAATTGTACAGGTGTGCACACACGTGACATGACGTCAAAGCATCATTTAAACTGCCCAGGTGGCTGTCACATTGGCTCACTGGCTAAGAGCTCATACTGTCCTTGCAGAGCGTCTGAGTTCCGTCCCAGGTACCCACATCCTGTAGCTCACGCCTGGCTCTAACTCAAGCTCCAGGGGATTGGACCTTCTTTGGCCTCCTTGGGCACATGCTGCGATGTACAGACCACCCACACACATACACATAATTAAAAACTATGAACCTTTAAAGGGAAACAAACAAATAAAAACGGGCAAAAAGTTTCTCTGTAAAGGCTGAAAGGCCCCATCTCATCTGGATTTTCTTCATGGCAACTGTATCTTAACTTTCGAAGGGAAAGAGACAGAGAAAAATCAAACCTGTTTCTTCCTTCACTGTCTCAAGTTACAGATAATTAAGGAGGGACATTATTAGTTTTATGCTTTTTAGACCCAAGAATGAGCCCCATTTGCCCTTGTACCCACTCCCCAAACCCGTGTAGTACAAAGGGCAATTGAGCAGAAACATGTAGAGTACATATGTGCAGACAGTGAGCATGCGCAGACAGTGAGCATGCGCAGACAGGGAGCACACGCCCCGTGGCTTCTCTGCGCAAGTCTGAGTGAGTGGCGGTGGCAGCAGTTCCAGAACAATCGAATGTGTTCAGTGTTCAGCTCTAATTAATTTTGGCGGTAGACAGAATGAATCCTTATTTCCAACAGACAGCAATGACTCAAGGTCATTAAAGGAAATAAAAAGACGTGATCAGATGCTTGTGCCCAGTGGAGTTTCCACAGTACTTTCTCCAGGCTAAAATCTGCCAGCTGTCTCAACACGTTAGGAGAACGATAGTGTTCAGAAATGCGTATTTTCTAGCTGCGCTCTAAGGGCCATATCCTATAGAGATTAAGTTACCAACAATGGGTCTCCCTTAGCACTAAAGGAAAGGTCCCACTGGGGACAGAGAGATGGCTCAGAGGTTAAGAGCACTTGCTGCTCTTACAGAAGACCTCAGTTCAGTTCTCACTGCCCTTGTCAGAGGGATCTGTTGCCTCTTCTGATCCTCTTGGATGCCCTGTGGTGTGTGTGTGTGTGTGTGTGCGCGTGCGTGCGTGCGTGCGTGTGTGTGTGTGTGTGTGTGTGTGTGTGCTGATGACAGCCTGGGCTCACTTCTGAGTGGTATGATAATTTGACCACCAATAAAACCAGTGTCTGCAACAAACTGCAGCACCTCGGACACAACAGCTTGCATGAATTCATCATGTTGATGCAAATGCTTAGGAGGAAGTTGAAGAATCCAGCCAGGGTTCTGAAAGCCACAAGCACTTAGTGTGCCTTTTCTGTATGTTCTATGCTTCAGGGAAACAAAGAAGTGACAGAAAGGAGCCAGGAGTGGTGGTTCATGCCTTTATTCCCAGTTCTAGGGAGGCAGAGGCAGAGGCAGCGGGGCAGAGGGGTAGAGGCAGGAAGATGGAGGCCAGGCTACATAGGAAGCCTCTATTTCTCAAAGAATCAAAATTTAGAGATGTTGTTCGGTGGTAAATCATCTGGCTGGCATGTGTAGGCCTTGGAATTGATCCCTAGAACTGGAGGAAAATACCCAACTCATACTTATCATATGCGAATATTACAAAAATAAAATTCGCACTCTTATTCATCTGCACTATACTATGGATGAAGGGGTTTTGCCAGACCCTAGCCAAAATAAGCCAGGATTCTATCAGCCTTCTAAATTCAATGTGCAATACAAGAAATACCAAGGAAAGAATACAACCAATAACACCCAGGGGATGCAATCATTAACTCCACACCAGAAGCTATGCTAGAGTAACACGGTGGATGCATTATTATTGCGAATAGAAAATGGAAAGAAGAGAGAAAATAACCTCATAGGGAATTCATGAGACATATTTATATTTTGATTCCTAAATATAGGCTATGTTTTTTAAATGGAGCTGAGCATGGAGATGTAGTCCTATAATTTCAGTAGTGAGTTACAGGACAGCCTGAACCACAGAGTAAGATCCTGCCTCAAAACCCTTTATTTAAAATATATAAAATAAAGCCTTTTATTTAAATTTTTTTATCCACCTCCCCTTCCCAAAATTATGCCAGCCTGGTGAAGTAATAAACTTTAACAATAAAAACTTTGCTATTTAGGAGAAGGCTTATGAGTCAGATCAGGTGGAGGCCCACTTCTCATCTGTTTATCCTGGAAGAGTTAATCTCAGGTTTCAATTTCTCTATCTTTAAAATGACACAGGCACGCTGAACACTGGGGCAACATTTTGTCAATGGTAAGACGTGTCTGCAATTAAAGTGCAATGTCTGTTCTGGAACAGAAAGGTGGAAATGCTTAACCTGCAGCGCTGGAGACACTAAACCATGAGCAGAACCTTTTCCTACAACGACAAAGGAAAAGCAGCAGGCTTATTTATTGCGCGTCTACAGACGGATTTAAGGGCATCAGGTGGATGGTGCGTCTCCGCACCCCCGGTGACGTGTGCCAGCGCGGCAGACCCACC